TTCATTTTCACCAGGTCCTCTCACTCCACTCACTCCAATGCCTGCGTTCCAGTCCGGTCAGAAAAAAATGGTGCTTGTAGAATTTGTTTTGACCGGACGGCAGGCATTGATGTGCATTGCATTCCCTTGCAGTCGGAGGGCTTGGCTGCGGTGCCATTCACTTCATTGCACCCCACACTCCCTCCCGCCCCTCAACAAAGTGAGCCAGCCGCAGTGCAATCCAGTGCGTTCCGGCCAGAATCGGGCCAGAACACACTGTGTCTAGTGTGAACTAGCCCTCTATCTTTCATTTTCAAGGCTTAACTGAACAAACCAAAGAAAGAAGCTGAATAGTTAATATGGGAAATTCTGTCTGTTCCAGTTTTGACAAATTCCCCCATCTGTTTTATCATACGAGCAAGTGTGGTGTGACAGGCCAGGCAGGGGACAGTGTAATGGACTGTTTCAGCACATCGCACTATTGACTTTTTAAAAAACTTTATTGGGAGTGTAAAAACATTCTGTTCAGGTCTCCCTGCAGTCAGTGACCTGCCGTGCCGTCCAATGCACTGCGGAAAAACGCAGTATGTCTGCATCTTTTTGCAGTGCACTGCACATCCCTCTAGCGTTGTGGTGTGAACGGGCTACAAGAAAACAATTTTTTTTCTATGTACTCTAGCAGTGATCTGCACTTTTGTTGTGCATAGTGGATGTTTACATGGTGGACATGAATGAGATGTAGATTACAATACAAGTAGTGAATTATTGCACCTGATGAACAGGCCCAGAGAACACATAGAAGTCAAATATTGCCGTTTCATCAGAATCATCCACAGTGCTTAAAAAAATCAATATCTAAAATAAATCTTTGCAGCTCTTGCACAACCAGTGATATCAATAAAGAATTTCCTCTGCTGGCTATTTACACTGATGAATCATGTCTGAAATAAATTGCTCCCTTGAGACTGCATTGTTTTATAGATCTCTCCAGTTAAAAGTACCATTAAATGTGCCTTAATGCATGCAACGTCAATTGTCATCACTCTGCCTCCAAGCCAGATATACAATATGCTATTTTTCCACAAATTGTATCCTCTAAGCTAATCTTCCTTTTGACCCTGTATTTTTTCATTAAAGATATAATTTTGTCTCTTATTTTCTGTGCAACATTTTAATTGCTAATCTTGTATATTGAGGGACACAGGGGCTGTAAAAAATCCTAAACAGTTGGGTTATACTGCCATCTTCAGGAGGTTGAGAAACTGGCAAACAATGAACATTACACCAGCACCTGTATACCCCCTCCATCAACCATCATGTCTAGGTTTTTTGCTAATGTTTTAGATGGTTGCTCAACTTTTCCTAAGCTCTGCTGAAAACATTCTTATTATATTTTTGCTAGCCTTTTTATCAATTATGTTGCTTAAGCTAGGCTCTAAAGAGCAGCTATTCCGGTCAAAATATCCTTAGCAACAGCTTTGAGAGGTGTACTCTGAGCCTCTGGACTGAATATTGCGGGAGTAACCCGGAATGTGACCTTTGGACACTGAGCTTTGCATTATGGCACTTTCCAGACCTTTGTGCCTCTGAGGATTTAAATATGGAGTATGTCACAGGTAACATCTGTAACCTTTGGTTCCACAGGCTTGTGGGTTGCTCTTACCTGTGGTTCTACTACCATGTGTTCTGTTCTCGCTTCCTTGCTGAACAAAGCTAGCAACTATGGGTGTTGCCCTCTCACCTGATGATTATTATACCTTGCCTCTTGGCCCCTTCCTGCCCAGCCTCCCAATCCCTCTCATTATTTAACATCAGTTCAGATCAGCTTCCTTTGAATGAGCAACGTTCATGTTGCTTCCGAGATCCCGCCTGTGCCTCGCTCCTGACCTGTTCTTTGCTTGGACTGACCTTTTGTTTACCAACTCAGCTTTCTCCTTCCGGTTTCACTTGTCTGTTGCTCACCTTGACCTTTTGCCTGTCTTCCGGATCTCCATTGATTTCTCGGCTTTGCCAGTGTGGCCTGAACACTTTGGTGTGCTTCTTCTCCTTTGTGTGTGGATAGTCTGGACAAGTTGAGCAGGGTAAGCCTGGGCCCCGAGGGATACCACACCATCTGCTCACTCATGGGCTCACATTCTTGGTATTGTGACTGGTCGGGTGACCTCACATTTGGTATCACCATTTTAACATTTCCAACACCAACATTTTAATGGGATAACAGGGCTGAGAAAAGTCATTGAGCATTGACATCATCAAGTAGGTGGAGTTTTGTGGACGTGCTCTCTGCGCTTTTTTCCACCATTCTTCCTAGAGGAAGCACTATCCTGCTTTTGCTCCTGGCTTCTGAATCACTTGGTGGATCATCTGGTTTCTGGTATAGATCCACTGCTTGCCTTCACTGACCTGGTTCCCTCCAGCCACCTTTGACCCTCATCAGCTCTTGATGCTTATATTTGTGAGTACGCAAGGCTGTGCTTCATTTTGGTTGTTAGCGTAGTTGTTTTCTGCTATGTGTCTGCAAGTCTTTTCAAAGGCACACAGGGGACAGTCCTGATGCAATGCGTAACCTCAGCCAATAGTCCACTACCGCCTTCTAGAGGCAATTTCTCTGTATCTGCAGAAGGAAGCACCATCTTTAACCTAGATTCTGGGACCCATATTACTGTAGAGTCATCTTCACTGGAGTCTTATATAGAACAGCCATGGGGGGGCTGAAACCTCTTCTATGCCCACAAGACCCCTGGTATCCTCTTCAGATTTTTGCGAGTTTGTGCACATTCAATGGATCAATCTGCTACCAGAGGCTCTGGGATTCTTTATAGCAGAGTCTAATTCTCACCCTACTGGACCTCCATCTCTAAATGTGTCTGAGGACCCAGTTACCATCTCTGATTTAGATTCAGAGTCCTTAGAGTCTACCACTGAGAGGACTGTATTTCAAATTCCATATGACTCAGATTTACAAGGAATTGTTTTTAACCTGTTTGATGCAGTACGTTCTGCCATGAACTTGCAGGATTAGCCTGCTGTTCCAGGCATAGGATCTTGTAGAGCTCTTATGGCAAGAGAAGACCTTACCAATACACTAAGAGGGGAAGTTATCAAAACTGGAGCAGACAAAAACTAGAGCAGCCGTGCATGGCAACCAATCAGCATCTCTCTTTCATTTTCAGATCTTAACTGAAAAGACTGAAGAGAAAAGCTGATTGGTTGCCATAAGCAACTGCTCCAGATTTTGTCTGCTCCAGTTTTAATAAATTCCCCCCTAAGTATTTAAAACATTCTTTGTCTATGTGAGGGGAATGAGATGCCTGCAGGGTGGGGGTTGTGTCACCATATTGTCAGATCTGTTTGGCCGGCCTTGATGCCGATTTGGCTGGGAATCCGGCTTCCCGGCCAATCAGCATCGAGCCGGCCAAAGAGAATGGAGTCGGCTTCCCGGGCAATCAAGGAGCCGGGCAGTGGGTAATGACATGCTGCCTGCCTACCTCATTTTCAGGGGACATAATAATAATGACACCAGGGGACATAATAATAATGACACTAGGGGACATAATAATTACACAGGGGGGGACAAAATAACAATGCTTTGGGGGGGGGGCATAATAATAATGACACCAGGGGACATGCTCAGGTGTCATTATTATTATTGTTGCTATTCTATGCAGTGGAAGTGGTAGGTGGCGAATTATCCACACATTTACCATGAAAGTAGAATTATGGGGAGAGTGAAATGTGCTCTTCCCCCTAGTTACTGAAGCTGCCACAGGTTGGCTCTCTTGATCGAGAACTGAGCGATCACATACCGCTGATCACTCAGTTCCTGCACTCACTCTCTCTGCAGAGAGCGGTGACTGTCCGTCACGGCTCCTCGCAGGAATACCCCCCTCCCCTCTCTGATCCTCTAATGCTGACTGGACGGATGGATGGGGCGGACACAACCTCTAGAGAGGTAGAGTCAGCTGTCAATCAGGTGGTGGGGTGGATCTGGACAATATGTTTTGGATCCACCCCAGCTGCAGCGCTGCTCTGCTCTGTCAGCATATAGTGGGCAATATTGCATGGGGGCGTAGTGGGGGGCCCTATCCCTCATAATCCTCATGTCCTATACACTGTGTATAGAACGTGATAACTCGGGGACCTTAGACTGCTGCAGCGGAAGGGGAGCAAGGAGGAAGGGACCAGTCTAAGAGCAAGCTCAGAGTAAAACTTTTTTTTTACCTGGACAAAAACGAGCACTTAATCCTTGCAGTGCGTGACGTAGTGCCACTGTAAGGGTTAAGAATTTTTTTACCTGGAGTTCTGCTTTATTTCTTTTCACACACAGGCACACAAGGATGTTCCTAAGTCAATCTTTGGGTTGAATTTTTCCGACTTTGCAATATTTGTGCCCCATGATAATGCTTTTAACATGGTGTCTTTCAGTAAATAGTTTTTCATCCCTGGGCAATACAAGTGTTTTTCTACGGAACAGCTGTTAAAATATCTGCTTGGAAGTTGGAACATCTTAGGTATGTGACGATATGAGCTATTCGCATTATATGGCTGTTTTGACAGGTCTGGAAAATGTATGACAGAAATGAATGTAAACAAATCCAGATTATAGTTGGACTGCAATCTGATCTAGTGATTTAGACATTTGGACATGGCTGATTCCCCTTGTGTCTCCATTATCAGTGTACAGATAAGCAGTTTGTTGTACTTTTGACAACTGGGACAGATGAAAATTCTCACTCCTAAAAGTGATGGGTGAGACTGAGTTTTCCTCAAGGATGTGTTGTAAATGCACCTTCTAATAGAAGGGGAGTGACTTAACAGTGTCAGTTTCACATTACATCTGTGGGCTTTGGTGGCTGCTTTGTTAGTTTGCTGATGATAGCAAACCTCCAGTGCTAGTTATGATAGAACATCACTAATTTCCAGAATGCTAAAGTTTTTTTAGTCTAAGTGTTGCATTGCCTTGCCGTATTTATTTTCAAAATGAATTCCTTGAACTAACTATGCTTTGCTGTCTCTTTCAGTGGAAGCAATACATTTAGGAAGCCTTATAGCAGCCCAAGGTTACATCTTCCCAATATCAGATCATGTTCTCACTCTGAAGGATGATGGGACTTTCTATCGTTTTCAAGTAAGTGAACCCAGAAATGTGTTTGGATAGTACAGCCCTCCTTAAAACTGAGCCAGGTAAAATGTTTTGTTTTGTTCTTTTTTTTGCTATATCACAACTGTATATATAAAAAAAAATAGAGTTTATGGAATATTGTCTAAAGCCCATGTGCACAAATGACACGTTTGCACCGATTGTGTGGCCCTAAGGTCCTCCTGCAGAAATGAGTCTATGTTTTCTTACCTAGGTGCTTATTCAGACCAGTGAAGCAAAAATATTCTTCAGACCGGCTTCTAATAGTTTATTGGCTTGGTTTATTTCTTTCTTGTTATCCTACTTTTTTCTGTGCTGCCTATCTCCGTTATCATTTTATGTTTTTTCCCTCTTTTATAATGGATTGTATTAAATAAAGGCTGTAGGGAGCACCAATGTGGGAGCACTGATTTGTAAAAAGGGCTGTAATATCTGATATTCGTATATCTTTACAACAAACCCAATCCCTCTTTGCCAGCAAAACAGGATTTATAATTAGATGCAGTCATCTAAAGGAAAAACAGTGCTGGTCTTTCTGATTAGAAAACCCAGCTTGTTCTACAAAGTAGATGTTCGAGCACCTTATATAAATGTTTACTTGCAAAGTAAACATTTCATATAAGCAAAAAAAATATATAAATTATATTTTTCTAATCTTATTAGCATTTTACAAAAATGATCATAGTTATGGCGAAGTTGTACTCAATGGGATCGATTTACTAAATACGCTTAGGCTGTTCACTTAGCAGAGTGGACTTAAACTTTGCTAGGGAATTTTCGCTTAGCTCGCTGATGGAGATTAATTTTGCTGACTTCAATCATCCAATCATGTCAAGCAAATATCCTGTTTTTGTTTTAATTCCCCTTGCATGTGATTGGGTATTGTTTTGGAAAATGTGTATTTTCACTACATTCATTAAGCTATGTCAAAATGTCCTTGCAAAGTGAATGTACTCTACTCCTTTAGTAAATCAACACCAATGTGTGCATAATGTAATGATCATGATAAGTTGGCCGTGTGTAGTCAACCTTAAACTGTGGTGTCTTCTGGTTGTCCATTTGGATTGTACCCCATGTAAAGGGATGGCAGGTTGCTTTAACTGCAGTGGGTACTAGAAGGGCTTTATACTAGTGCAAGAATCCACCCCCATGTTTTGGCATTGTTTTGACACTGAAAGGCTCCAGAGGAGATGCTGATGGTTAAGGGGTAATGTGGAGATGCACAAAGAATAGCATGGAGTTGCTAACTGGAGAGTAGGAGCATTGTGTCATTATGCAGGAGATGTAGGCTTGTTATGTTGACTTTGGTGGGATTGGCAAAAGGGGATGGTGGCCACTGAGGAGTTAGGGAGGTGGATGAGTCCAGCAGTCATGATAGACTAAAGGGGAATAGTCTGTGTAGAGGTAGGCCAAGGAGAAGAGAGTTGTAATAGCCAAAGCATGAAATAACAGGAAGTGAATTAGTAGCTTTGTGGTGTTTGTTAAGAAGATTCAAAGTTATATGATGATACGGCAGCAAGATTTGGACATTGAATGGATGTGGGGCCTAAAGGACACGTCAGAGTCCAGGATTACACCTAGAACCCTGGCATGAGTGGAGGAACTGATAGAAGTAATATTGATCTTGATTAAAATGTTGTAGGAGGGGGGGACACAGGAAGAAGGATATATTATGAGCTCAGTTTTTGAAAGACTGAGTTTCAGGAAGGGGTGGGCCATATCATATCCGGCAATAGTAAAGTTCTGCTGTGTGGTAATTTCCTGGTTGTCAAGTGAGCCACACATTTGTATCCAGCAGCTCGCATAAATTGGCAGAACAAAAGATTGTATGTCAACCACAGCCACCAATCAGTTCCAAATTTTAGTTCTAAATCTAACATATTTAGTATCAGATCATGATCTTATTTGTTACTAACAATACAGCAGTTATTTAAAAGAGGTCTCCAATGAATACACTTTACCAGGGTTTCCAGTACTAAATCAACTTGATGATAAAAACAGGATCCTAAACCAGGATCTGTTGATATCTATCCATGTCCCCTAAACATGCTCTCATTTTGAGCACACCCCTTTTTTGTTGTGGAATGCTGTACTCACCATTATTCTTTTTCCTGACACATTTAGGTTAGGCCAATTACAATGATAGGAGTGCTGTTGTTAATCGCATGGCCTGAACATGTCAATAGATGTGAAGGTGAATAATCTTAGAGAATAAAAATAGAAATAAAATGCATCATTGAACAGTTGTGCCTCAATAACAGATGGTGCTGGTGACTAAAAATCTTCCATATTTTAAATTAATGCACACACTTTAATTTTATACAAGCAAGGATTTTAAGCTAAAAGTTAAAAATAACCCTTGTACCTTTTCTGAATAACATCATGCTGAAAAGAAGGAAAGTGTGGTATGTAGGGTATTATTAAGCCCACCTTTATGTTTAATGAATCCCTGCCCTCTTAAGGGCTTGTTCACACCATGCGTGTTCCAGGAGCAGAGCAGTTACAGTCCGGATCAAAACTGCGTCAAATGTATTCCAATGGTATTTTGGGCTCTAGTTCACACCGTAGCGTTCAGTTCCAGAGCATGTAAAAATACTGCAGCAAGCCCTATTTTACCTTCTCTGGAACGCATGCAAACACATCAAAAACACAACCAAATGCCCTGGAACTCACTGAAAGCCCATTCTAAAAAAAAACAAAACGGCCCGGAAAGCATCAAAAACGCGACAAAAAACGCAGTATAACACACTGCACTGCGTGTGCAGAAACTCATGCAGATCTGGTCTGCATTTGGTGTGAACAATCCCTCACATAAGGGCTGAGAGAAAGGAATGCAGTGCTACTTTTAAGAAACACATTTAATAATATTTGGTGTTTCAATTGCTCTCTCCACAGGTCCATACCATATGTACTTGTGATATCTAACTCCCAATATCTGATTTTCCTGTGTTACCACACAAACACCACATCACTAACATAGGCCCAAAATACACTAAAAGCGTTCTGAAAACCCTAAACACCCTCCACCTTCACAGCATTATGGATATTATTAAATAACAAGCACATTTTTAAATTTGCTAATTTAAAAATGAAAGGTAACAAATAAATTCCAGAAACTGCAGCATCAATAGATCAAAACCATAAAAAATACTCTCAAATATCATGTATAATTGTTATAGGCGCAAAAGAGGCAATATTTTTATTTTTAGTAAAGATATTTATAGGCTATAATAGCCTATTAAAAAATTTAACACATTTTTATAAACATTTCTAAATTGTGTTTTTATGTCTTGAACATAATAAAAAATTATGGTATTTTAATTTTTAGAAAATAAAGTATGCATAAAATACGACTAACATAAATCACAAACTTTAAACATACATGGCTGTATATTTTATAAAGCAATACTCTGGATGCATTAATATTCAACATATCTACCAAGTCCCATCTAATTAGCCTGCAAGTAAGCAGGAGTCAGACAAGGGCTATATCTATCTCAATAGCTATAATGTGTGTCCCACCATGCAATCTCAGGCATGAATTACCCCCTAGGACTTTATTTGTTGTGTCTGCCTTTATTTATTTATGTACGTTTTAAGGTTACCAAATTCCTGTAGCTTTTTTCCCCCCTTCGGCAGGAGAATGCAACTGTGTATATCCATTTATACCAATATACATATAACTACTGTTCTATTTCTCTTCAAAATTCTGTACCACGGACAGTTCTGTCATTTTCATTGTGAAGACCTTTTGTCAGGAAATCTATAATGGGTTCACATTTAGAATATTCTAGTGCCACAGCAGGACATATAGGTCTTGGAGGTCACACAAAAAACAGAGAACAAGAAAGCAGGGAGAAAACAAGTTCTCCTGCCTTCTGCCTGCATATATCATGCATATATCATAGATTGATTTATTTGGGCACAAACAATCTTTGTGAAATTGACACTTGGATCATTATACGTTGGCACAAGCAATTTTTGTGATATTCACCATGGGTTCAAGACGAATCCTGGAGGTTTGAGAACTTTTTTTTTCTATAATGCTTCCCGTTAAAAAAAAATATTTTTCATCAAAGGGTATTTTTGGGGGGGTTTTCATTTATTTTAGGGGTCTATATATTTTTTTTTGTTTCATATTCATAATTCGTTGGTTTAACTTTTTTTGCTGCAGGGTTTCCCTTTAAAAAAAAAATGAGACTTTGTTTCAGGGGTGGTTTCTTTTGTGTGTTTTTTTTATGTTAATTTATATATATATATATGTGTATATATACGGTATATATATATAGTGCATTGTACTGGGATCGGCTGTGTGAATGGGCCCTGAGTGTGCTTTCACTTGTTATTAAAGATATGTTCTTTAGGCTGCCTTTTGTTTGCAGCACACTACAACATCATCTGAAAGGAAGAAAAACAAAGTGCAAGAACAGTGTGCACCTGAACCACCTTACATTAGATCACTCACATTTACCACACCCCCCTTTACCTATAGATAAAATAAAAGTTAAGCATACTCCAGTTAGGCCTATTATTCCTGATTAAACGGTCATGCTGCTGGGCAGGATTACACTGCTGTATCATTTGTAGCCTCTTAAATCTTGTTGTAAAACACTTGCCTGTACTATTTTTCTTTAGTACGTCTCAGCCAATTCTTCCTAATTAAAAATGTCCTGCTGCTGGCCAGTTTTACACAGTTGTATCATTTGCAGTCTCTTAGTTCTTAATGAGAGTGTGATAGAAATTGACCAGTGGTAGGACAGTTTTGCATCAGCAAAAACGAGGACAGCCACAGCAAACTACTGGACAATTTCTATCTGCCGATCAAATTACCATTTGATGAAGAAAGCAAGTGTCGCAGATAAAGCTAAAGCAGCTGTTCAGCTGCTGTATGTAAGCCAAAAAAATCTATTTCACAGCCAAATATGCGTTGCCAGTGTACACTGTTGAGAGAAGTGTCTATGAAAATGGTACTGTTTTGTACAGTTTTAAGGCATTCCCCTTGCATGTTATTTAGAGAATTTGTGTATTTACAATGTTGATCTAAAATCTCCATGAAAAGCACTAAAAATGGCCAGAATTTAACACCCCTCAGACTTCAATGGGAGTCACTTCTAAGTGCAATTTCGCTAAAATTTGAACTAGATTTGCAAAACCCTTGCGAAGCTAACCTGGGAAGATTCACCCATCACTAATTATTATGATCATTTTCAATGTGAAAATGGCTAAAAAATAAATTAAGTTTAAATGGTGAGTTTCAGAATAGATTTAGGAGTTACATTACATTTTGCGAGTACAACCAGGGGTTGCCCAAGCTTATCTGCTAGAATTACAACAAGCAACCAGCATGGCAGCACAGAGGACTTGATTAGACCCTAAATGTGTTACATAGTACAGCATTCACCTTCTATAATCTTCTTCTCCACTCAGTTATGTAACACTTAACTTTATATCATTTTTTGAGACAGATATACCTTTTTCTGTTGGTGGTATTTAGTAACCACTGTTTTTTTTTCTAAAAAGATTAAAAAAAGACCAAACATCTGGGATGACTTACATTTACCTTTTATTTCTCTCCACTTTCCACTTTAGAAGCATAGTCAAGCAGAACTATTTAGAATGGTGGTAAAACTAAATCCAGAATACATACCCTGAGGTTGGGGCATAAGTCTTTTTAATAGCACCATCTATGTCATCCTTGGAGTGCCCCCATATTTTAAGTTTCCCACATACTCTTGCGGTGAGCACTGTTGGAGGGTTTTTTCTTTACCATTCCTTAGCTATTAATTTTGGTTTTTTTTTTTAGATGGAGTTCAACCTAATTATTAGGTTCCCTACATTCCCACATTTTACACAATATGTATCTATATCCTACCTAGAGGAATATCTTTTGTACAAGCTAAACAGTTTTCATCCAATGTATTGTGTTTGTGGTTTGCATTTACCATGTTGCTGGATGTATTGCCACTAAGGTTTTCTATAATAAGATCCCTAATACATTTAAATATAAATGTAATACAAGTTCATAATGCTAGAGCAGGAGGCAAAAAGCCAAATGCCTATAACTCTGCAAGATATGGGCAGTAAATGCTACTTATTCCTCGGCAGTCAGTATTAAACAAACATATTTAAGTCAGCTATGATCCAGTTTCCTTATTTCCATAATCTATTTCTCCAAGCTTCTGCCTTGGCCTTTATTTTCATAATTTATTCTCAATCACAACAAAAGGAAGTGAACTTTTAACCTGAACAAAAAGCTGGCAAACCATATCAACTGACAGCCAGCTAAGTTGCTGCAATTTTTTTAGGTCAAAAGAAGCAATTTAAAATTATGAATAAATGGCATGTACCTCCAGGGAATTTTCCTTAGTATAAAAGTTCAGTCTGCCTCTAAAAATTCAACCTTGTGATACTTGGCACGTAGTCCTCTGGGGAAAACCATGCTAAATGTGTAGGTAATACACCTTTAGGCATTAACCTACGAATAACAAAATGTAATGTGGGCTGCCATTTGAAGTTTAGGTCAGCGTACTGCCAAATATAACAAATCCACGAAAAGCATTTCAGACTGTATCTACAGATTCTGAGAACCAAAGTTTACATGCTGTAAATTACAGATGCATTACTTTCACCTTGGGAACCTGGATTGTCCACATTTGTTTTTGAAGTGTCCAGATTACCAAGTTGGCAATTGTATTGGGCTTGCCATTGCTGTTTAATGTCTCTGAATTTAGAAGAACAATGCAAACTCAAAGCAACATCTATTGTTGGGTATCTTACTGTCCCAGGGACAACGGTTTTGCCAGACAGTGAGTAAGAGGAAATCTGAAACACAGAAATAAAAAGCTAAACATTATTCATCACTCCCTGTCTGGTGAAACTGCTGTCACTATGACAGTAACGTGATATGGGATATATGTATTCTGCTTCCTTTGCTTTGAGGCTCCAAAGCAAACAGGGTAGAATTCAAATTAATGAAAAAATACAAACAAAAGCTGGAAGAAGAACCCAATCATGTGACCTGTCAAACTAATAGACTAGTCTTTACTCTAATTACATGTGTAAAGCAAAGTGTTGAATAGCACTATTTCCTCTCCGTTACAAATACCCACCTATGTGAAGCATTTGTACTCTTTGTGTGGTAGGTATTATTCATAAGGACATGACTTTAGGCTTTGATTTACTGGTTCACAGTTTTGGCTATGTACCAGCTTTTCAGGAACTTAATTTTGAAATGCCAAAATATCTGTATATTTTAATTTTTTTTTGCGCTGTAATGTTGTATTTTTGAGGAATAAAGGGCTTCTTATTAGGAAGGAAAAAAACACATATCAAAATATTCTATCATTCATTGGAGTGAAAAGTAGGTAAAGGTTGTAGTAGAGACCAATACCCTACTCCCTATTAAGACAGTGTCAAAAGTAACTAGCCTAGGCAGACCACATCAGTAAATGTAAATTTACTGGGTTTTGGGGAAATAAAATAATGGCCAAAGCTAACGCTTTCGGTTACAGCAATGATACATTGATCTCGAGGGCTCAGCATAAGAAAGCTAAGTATCATGATGAAAACATCATTCCCCTTTAACTAGCCTCATTATCGTGTTTTCTGTGCACCCCCTTCATATTTTGAAAAATATTTCTCATGCCAGCCTCAACTATCTGTTATCATTCCCAGGGTTGTTGTATATGTATGTTTTGGAGATGATCTGAATATTATGCAGGCATGATTTGTTTGATAGATATTTTATCATATGTTTTTCTAGGCTCCATATTTTTGGCCTTCAAACTGCTGGGAACCTGAAAACACAGACTATGGTAAGTGTTAATGTAAAACAAAACAAACTAAATCAATGAAGTAAGCTACATCAGACTACTGCAAGTCATTGTAAGCCATCACAAAAAAACAATTTAAATGTTCAAGTTTTTTTTTTAAATAGAATATTTGTTTACATATTTTTAGTTACTTTGAACATAGATTTGGTTATTTGAACATTAAAAAATACTTTTTGTGGGCCCAAGTATATATGTATATACACACTATATTGCCAAAAGTATTGGGACACTCCTCCAAATCATTGGATTCAGGTGTTCCGTAACATTTCCTTGCTACTAAATATTCAACAATCAACTGTTAGTGGTATTATAACAAAGTGGAAGCAATTGGGAACAACAGCAACTCAGCCACGAAGTGGTAGGCCACGTAAAATGACAGAGCGGGGTCAGCACATGTTGAAGCGCATAGTGTGCAGAAGTCATAAACTGTCTACAGAGTCAATAGCTACAGACCTCCAAACTTTGTGTGGCCTTCAGATTGGCACAACAACAGTGCATGGAGAGCTTCATGGAATGGGTTTCCATGGCCGAGCAGCTGCATCCAAGCCTTACATCACCAAGTGCAATGCAAAGCGTCGGATGCAGTGGTGTAAACCACGCCGCCACTGGACTCTGCAGTGACGAATCACGCTTCTCTGTCTGGCAATCCAATGGACGTGTCTGGGTTTGGCAGTTGCCAGGAGAACGTTACTTGCCTGACTGCATTGTGCCAAGTGTAAAGTTTGGTGGAGGGGGGATTATGGTGTGGGGTTGTTTTTCAGGGGTTGGTCTTGGCCCCTTAGTTCCAGTGAAGGGAACTCTTGAGGCATCAGCATACCAAGACATTTTGGACAATTTAATCCTCCCAACTTTGTGGGAACAGTTTGGGGATGGCAACACCATTGCACCAAGCAAGGTCCATAAAGACATGGATGAGCAAGTTTGGGGTGGAGGAACTTGACTGGCCTGCACAAAGTCCTGACCTCAACCCAATTGAATACCTTTAGGATGAATTAGAGTGGAGACTGTGTGCTAGGCCTTCTCGTCCAACATCAGTACTAGACATCACAACAAAAAGCTGTTTAAAATATTTAGAATATTACAGTAGAATATGATTTTTTTTAAAAGGAGAAAAAAATAAGGATTTTTTTTTTAATATAGGGCTTTATTTGTAAAGTTGTATTAAAAAAGGCAAGGCTATTTCCCTATTACTGATATAACATGCCTTGTTCCACACTCTGTCTTTGTGTGGATGCAGCCATCTTGATAGATATAAAAAGTGCTTTGCTTTCTAATGTCAGAACTGCCACCTTGATAACTAGTGATCTGATGACTTGTGGTGTTAAAAATCAATAGGTAGCAGGAGAGATGCCAAGATCCACAGAATTAATGAAGCAGAAACAGGGAGATGCATGCACTTCAGGTCCTCCGGTACACATTTCTTTCCAACTTGGAGAACGGTGCGCAGCACACTAGTAGAATTGCCAAATCTCACTCAAGTTTTCATGAGACTAGCAGTCAGAGGCAACAATGCCTTAGATCAGTGGTTCTCAACCTGTGTAACCTCAGGACCCACATTTGTCCTCGGTCATTAAGTCGCGACCCAAGTTGCACTGCAATGGAAAGCACGGCATTAGGGTACCGCATGTACCGGTTCGGGTGTACAAAGTGTGGGTGAGAGGGGCGTTTGGGGTACCATTCAAATGAATAGCAACGCAACACACCTCCCACACCAGAATGCACGGTAGGTGTGAACAGGCCCTCAAAAACACTGACATACATACAAAGACACAAGCTCACTTTTTTTTTAACCTTCACGTCCGCCGATTGTTGAAAGACGGCCGGACGGGAGTCTCCTGGATGCGGGTGGGCGATCCCGGGCGTCCATCCGTCCCGGGCGATGTGGCTCTGTTCACTGAGAACGGAGGGAGATCAGTCCACGATCTCTCTTCGCTCTCCTCCCGGTCTCTGAATGCAGGAAGTGATGTATATTACATCACTTCCGCATTCCTCTGTCACTCTGCGGTACAGAAACTGGAGAGAAGCTGATGAAGCAGATCTGTGCTTCATCAGCTTCTCTGGGGGTCTCTAGGTGACATTAGTGGTCTTGGAGACCCCTGATGTCTACATAAAGGGGACCTGTAACTGTAATTTGTTATCACATAGGAGCACCCTATGTGATAACAATAAAGTTAAGTTTAAAAAAAAAATGCTCACAAAATAAATACAAATTTACACACACAAAACAAAAAAACCCACAAAATGTTTTAAAAGTCCCCCACCCCCACATAGATGCGCAAAAATGCGTTACATGCGCCTACACGCAAAAACGGTGATTGCTCCAATTATGCTGCACGTGTTACGTATCGCTGTGAACGTCGCAATGAGAGCAATAATTTTAGGGCCATCAATCACTGATAACACTAAACTGATGAGCGATAAAATCTATTAAAGCGTCGCCTATGGCAAATTTTGGCTATGGTGTTTTTTTGCGATTCCGCGGGCGCGCACAATTTTAAGGCTTGACATGTTTGGTGTCTATTTACCCTGTCTTTTATATTTTACCAAAAAATTGAATACTGAAAAATGGCCTGGACAGGAAGGGGGTGTAAACACCCCGGTTAGCAAGTGGTTAAGGTCCACCCAGTCTCCCTACCTTACGAGAATTGGAATGGATCCTCAGCCTGGGGTCCATAGTGGGCTGCTATGCTGTGACAGAGCTCCATCCATATATGCATTGCTGGTACAGCTCCCTTGCACGCTCTGTATAGGTGCCGGGATCCAAGCCCTTAGATGATCTCACATGGCAGAATGTGATGTTACTCCGGTCCAGGCATCTCTACAGGACACTTGAGGGAGCTGTAAGCAATGCACGTATGGATGGAGCTTCCTCACAGCCAAAGCCCCATTCCATTCCACCTCAAGCTGACACTCAGCACCGGGAAGCATATTTTCAATGTCTGCTTGGCGCGAGAACTGACAGTGCTGCGCTAAGGGGGAGGCACAGGAGCCTCTCACCTAAAATAGTGGAAAGCATGCAGCAACACACTGAACACTTTAGGGTCACGACCCACCAGTTGAGAACCAAGGCCTTAGATGATCTCACATTGCAGATATACAGTTATGACTAGAACAGGAACCCAAAAGGTAGATTTCTTAGGATACTAATTAGACAAAAGTAAGCTTTATTTATCTTTCCTATAAAACAGCAAATCTTCATTAGTACAGTATGTGCCCACTTTAAATTTATTGTACTTTGACCAAAATCTATAAAACTCCTAAAATCGGAGGGAAACCCTAAGCTAAGGCAAATTTCCCATTCAACATGAATGGAATGCAGCATTGATTCTATGTTTGCTTTAGTCTACATGATGTTCTCTATGGTGGACAGTAAAGTTTTGATCCAAACTTTTTTGCGTGGATTCAGATGATATTTTTAATTGATTGTATCAAATAGTGATACAATATTACCAGGCATAGCTTGAAAGACAAAGAACAATGTGCAAAGTGCAGTAATTCATAGCAGCCCATAAGAAATAATCATTCATAGATACCCGTAATCTTATATCTGATGGATTACTATGTACTAATGCACTTTGCACATCTTTATTACTTTTTGTATTGATTTACTGAGTAATCCTATACACAGAACATCATTTTGGATTTAAACAAAATAATTGTAATGTGTGGATAGCAGTAATATAATATTGTGCACTTTACAAGTTAACTTTCCTTCCTTTGTTTGTCTTTTTATTTTCTGCACCTTATTAGTGATATAAATCTCAAATTACTATCCTCACATAATTGGATCTATAAAATATTGCAATTCATCTGAATGTTATTGGTTTATGAAGGAAATTGCACCACCTCATTTTAGCATAGATCAGAATATATATGTTCTATGGAACACTTGGTGGTTATTGTAGCAAACATGAGTTATGAAAATTAGTTGTTATGGCTCCCTTGGGTGGAATATAAAAGGAGTAACAATTTCACTTCAACCTGATAAGGCTTGATGATAACCTTGACAACTACCTTTCTTCTCTTACACACAGCTCTCATACAATTTGGGTCATATTACAGAGTTGCATTTGCAATTCTTACCTGACATGTCTCATTGAATGGACAGTTAGTTGCTTTCCAGTAAGGATCTCGTTATTGATTTATGCGACTGGTACATTGCGGTGTTTTTGTATGTTATTGTATAGATTCTCTAAACAATTACTAGGATACTGGTTGACGTTTAAGGTGCACGTTAATGTCTAAAATATATCAAATGAATTTAATAAAATAGTTAAATGTTGGAACATAGCTACATAGTTAAAGTATATGTACATAAAATTGTCATAAAAGCTTTAACATGATAACATGTAATTACAAAAGTAATTTGCAATATTTTTCAATCTAAAAAAATATGATGCTGTCAACTAATTTTTTATGTAATATTATCTTGATAACGGTGTAAAGTTAAAAATTCAGTTTTAAGAAAATTAACAATGAAAAAACCCACATACTTTAAACCACCACACCCCCACACACACACACACACACACACACACACACACACACACACACACACTGTTACTCGGTTTTTGATTGGACACTGGTGACTTGATTCACTGGTGCACTGATCTTATTTCTCTCAAGAAATCCTGCAGAATCTGAGTGTGATTATAGACTGAATCTTTACCTGGTAATATAGTGGAAATGACTGTTAGGCCTTGTTCACACCAATCGCGTTCCAGGAGCAGAGCAGAGCAGTTACAGACCGGAGGAAAACTGCATCCAATGTATTCCAATTGTATTTTTAGCTAAAGTTCACATTGCAGCGTGCAGTTCCAGAGCAGGTAAAAAAACTGCAGCAGGCCCTATTTCACCTGCTCTGGAACGCATGCAAATGCATGAAAAATGCATTAAACCCCCTGAAACGCACTGAAAGCCCATTTTAAACTTTAAAAAAATCTTTATACCAAAAACGGCACGGAACGCATCAAAAACACGGCAAAAAACGCAGCAAAACGGCACAACCCACTGCACTGCGTGTGCAGAAACTCATGCAGATCTGCTCTGCATTTGGTGTGAACAAGGCCTTAGTGGAAAGTCTTACTTTGCACATCAAAGCACAACTGTGTAAAAGCATAGTGAGCATAACTGTTTATATAGCAAATTCACTAACCATATCAAAATGGTTTCTTATTTCCTTTAGCTATCTATCTATGCAAGAGGACAATGCAGAACAAAGCAAGACTGGAGCTAGCAGATTATGAAGCCGTAGGTATACCAAGATTTCAACCTGCAGGAAAAGGAAGGAGACATAACATACTGAATAAAATTGTTGTTGTTTGTCTGTAGCGGCAAAAAAAGTGGGAAGCTGAAGTATATGTTTGAAACTAACACAATTGTATTTAAGAAAACAGTAGTATTCTGGCATCAGAAACAGACATATTTGTCAGCATATTACATTCAATGTATTTAACCTTTTAACCAAAGTTTTCTCCACAAAAACAACGCACTTCCTGTAGGTGTCAGTATAACCCAGTTGTTTCTGAATCCTGTATCCCTCAACCTGTCATGTGCAGTATGGACACTAAACATTACAAATAAAAAAATAGAAAGCTGCTAATCAGGTGACAACTCATTCTATCATTTGAAAACTGTGTTGGAAAACGGAAACACAAAATAAGATCTACATTTGCTTTTACTGAGTGAAACATACTTTGCACATTTGATACTTAATGTGGTGGCTGTGTTATTTTTCATTATTCAGGCTAAGAACATTTTCAGTAATTGCAGAAAATCCTTGTCACTTCCTGTCAGGTGAACTGAAAGACAAAAACAATATTATCTGTCTTCTGTAACGTACTAATCTCGCCATGCTCCACATAATGGAGATAAGGAGAGGAAGACATATTTGAAGTGAAGTGAATATTGCCATCTTGGGACAGGAACTGCATAATTCACAAGGTTACCAGGTAAAAATCAGGGTTACAAAATCCTGAAAAGAAAAAACAAATGCAGGCACCACATCTAAGGACTTGTAAGCTGCAATATACCTTATGTTTGCTTTCACATGACTGAATGATGGAAGCCTGCAGAGCTTCACCTTATTTACTAGGCTAAGGGAAAGTACCTTGCAAAGTGAAAATTCCCTAGCAAAGTGAACAGCCTATTTGCATTTAGTAAATCAACCCCATGTAGTACACTCACTTTTTACCCAACTGAAGACACTTCCCACTTCCTCATTGAATGGGACAGTCACATGATAAGTCTCATATTTGTAATAAAAGAAACAATTGAGGGAAATGCAGATATCCAATCACATGAGTAGATAATTATATTCCTGAAGCAGTAATATACAGAAACAAGGTATAGAAGCTCCCAATCGCTGTCATGGTTACCTTGGTTATAGGAAAATATATTGGAGTTTTTTTGCTAGTTTTCTAAAGTCATATCGGGCTTGAAATTAAATTAAAACAAATACATTTTTTGGGTCAAATATCCATTTCCTCAAAGTTTTGAGATAATATGGCAATTTATATTCATAGTAAATTACCCTTTATTAATGAATATATTGTCAGTTAGAGCTACAAGTTCATAATAATCTATGGAATTGATTTTGAACCAAAATATGATTTCTCAAGCAAACAAATTTAAATGCGGCCCATATCAACTAGATTCCCTGATCCATTTTGCCATTGAATATTAAAGAATAAAAAACTTACTCTAATTGGTTACTCTGAGCTCTGATCCTGAACTTACTTTGCTGCAGTTTCCATAAATCATCTCCTTTGGGTTCCAGCTTTAAAAATGTTGCTCATCACTATTTTGAAGATTAATGTTAGTTGGGAACTAACTGATGTCCTACAAGTCATCTGCATGCTTATATTAATATGTATAATGAGATGAAACATAGAACTTCTTCTCCGATCAAACGATTCAACAGATTTATATGTTCTGAAACAGAATGTCTGTCAGTTTAAAACACAATTTAAGCAGAAGACCAGTCTTTCATTTGAGTCATATGTAGTAAGTGCACTAGATAAGATGTCTGAGCAATTCAATATCTTTTGTTGGTTGAAGATCTTTTCTAATGGTTTTGCATTAGTAAAACAGTGCCATCACAGTAGTAGAGTATATTGCATTATTTACACACGCTTTCCTTTTTCCTTTATCCTTGTTTAACCTTTGTCAGGAAAACTTAGCAAGACTGCAGCGGGCTTTTGCAAGAAAATGGGAATTCATCTTTATGCAAGCAGAGGCACAAGTCAAGTGAGTTTGAACTTGAGTAACAATAGCTTTCTCTATGGGCATGTTTTCAGTTACATTAGTGATACATTGATCAGTAGTGTAAAGCTTGACCAGTGGGGTCAGGGGAGCTATGAAGTTTATTATATAGAGAGACTGCAGTGTGGACTTTTATCACAAATTAGAAAAATAGAGCTGAATTATAGCTAAGAGGTCCTCTATTGTCCTGAACTGAAAGGTGAATATTGAGAATTAGAACGTAATTTCTAAAACATTTCTAAAGGATGAGTTTTTTTTTTTTCTTTTCTAACATGTATAGAATTCCCGATGCACTGTGTATTAAAGAAAAAAAAAACTAATTTGTGATCAGTATTTTTTGTTGGTAAATCTATAGCCAACAACATTTTTTTCTAGTTTAAGAGGCAGTAGTGAACATTTAGAACCTTTGTCAGGATTTCATAGTTTTTTCCTTATATTGCTGGGTGTGTTCGCATTGGTGAGTTTCATCAGGGCATGCACTACTTTTTCCACCGAAACGCAAGGTATTACATTATTGTGTGTGGGCAGTAGGTGCTTTGAATTGCCATTCAAATGAATGGCAACACAACTGGGTCAAGTCATTTTTGGTCTTTTTCTGAGAATACTAGCTGCCTGCCAGGCTCAGACTTTGTAATTTAACAAACTGACTAGAAACCAGTAGTTAGATCACCAAAATCAGAGTGAAGTTAGAGATCCTATTCTTCATACTTGTAGGTCAGTAACTACTGAAGCAGCTTGCCAGCCAGGTGACTTTTGTTTATGGAAGGGCAGGTCAGCAAAAGCATCCTCCATACTTCTTCAGTACATGTTTGATTTAAGTAAGTAATGCCATAAAACTCCATTACTTTTATGTTCACTTAGGTCATCCTTTTTTTTCTGTATGTACACAACAAATATCCACAAGTGTAAAATGGAAACATAATTATGAGGTTAGAATGTTAAGCTAAATATTTCATATTTATTTTACAGAATTGACAGAAAAAAAGATAAAACTGAAAGAAAAATTCTGGACAGCCAAGAAAGGGGATTCTGGGATGTGCATCGACCAGTGGTAAGTCCACTAACTAGTTTTTTTATTTATAATAAGCTCCGGTCATCAAGTACTCCTACTGTCATGTTTTAGGGTCTTCTTAGTTGACAACTATGGTAAGTAAAACAAAGCATTTTGTGCTCCATTTGAGTCTGTACATTGTTTAGGAAGGCAAAACACAACGTTCAGCTGTTATAAGTCACAGCTGTTATAAGTGTTAAATTGCTTTCATGTACATGTTTACCCCTACATTCTGTTTTTGGATGCTTTTTCTACATTAAAGTTTATGGTCCACATAAGATTTCCACCTTTTAAAAAGGCTACCTTATGTCTGTAATTCTTCCTGAAAGATAGCAGTATACAGTCTGGTATGTGAGTGTGCCTGGGCACCATAGATGTATATCTGTATTGTGAGGTCAAAGTGACGGCCTTGGCTAGTTTTATGAGATTTGGAGGGACATTTGCTAATGTCACAGCTGTACTGCTCACTCTTCTCTAGGGCTGCAACTGATGATTATTTTCAACTTTAAAGCAAGGTGCACATGGAAGGGCTTTAAACAAGTACAACAGCAAAATATTTCCCAGCACACTCACCAGCCAGCCTGCAAAAAACACTGTAACGACTAAGGCTAAGGCTCTGTCAGTGGGGAGTGCAGGCAGCAGGAAAGGGGGGAGGGGAAATGTCTGCATAGATTAAACAGATATGTACTTGAGCGCACAGCACACAGTCTTACTTAAGGAGTCACAGCAGCCCCGGTTATAAGACAGTGCTTTCCTCCCGGCTCTGTGACAGCTCGATGTATGTCCCAGTCAAGCTGCCATTTTGACCACTTTCCAGTCCAAGGCCGCTCACACCGCATCTTCTCCCCACCCGCTCATCTTATGTTCATTCCATTATGACTTACATGGCCATCTCCTTATGCTTCCGTTTACACACTGGCTTCCCATTTGCTCTTTTCAACAGTAACCTCCTGAGCCCCGGCCAGTGAACCCCCAGTTCCCAGGCATCTCACCTGATGCTGAGCAGTATCTTCTGGGACTCGCAAATCTTGTCCCTGGGATGATCATGGTGTTGGCATGTCTGGCGGGGGATGGCAGCTGCCGTCCCCCGCCCCCTTAAACTCAATCAGTGAGAGCTGGGGAAGGGAAGCGTGTGTGGAGCTGCAAGCAGCCCAACTAATCGACTAACCAACTAATCAATAATGAAAATCGTTGACAACAATTTTCATTATCGACTTAGTCGATTAGTTGTTTCAGCCCTACTGTTCTCCTTGCTGAAAGCTATGACATGAGGAAGCAAAACCCTGCCTCTACCAAGATGGCAACCTCCACTCAGGGATACATTGCAGCAAGATCAGGTGAAGGGAGACCACAGGCAAAACTAGAGAGTAGAGACTAGTCCTTTGTCCTCTGACTTTTTTGCCTTTAGCTTACAGGCCCTGATTGTGATAGCAATAAAGTTAAGTGGAAAAAAATGTAAAAAGTGTTTGAAAGATTAAGTAAATGAAAATGTAAAAAAAAAAGAACAAATGTAAAAGCAGCCCCACCACCCCCTCCATCTGCATGCAAATGTTTGTGGTCATAAACGGTATTGCAGCACACATGTTCACCTATGTCTATGGACTTAATTTGCTGTTAACTCAAAACTGAAGAGCAATAAAACATTAAAATTGTATACTTACCTATCGGTCATTTTCCTTTCCTGACGCCAGTACATGGCAGCGTATGAATGGGTAAAGCTCACCCCCCACTCAATCACAGGACTGGTTATATCCTAAATTAAACATGCCCCCCAAGGCAGGCATTCTCGTAACAATACTCAATGCAAAAGCCATGGGAGGGTCCCGTATGCTGCCATGTATTGGAAAATATGAAATATTACATATATGAAATACGAAAATAGGAAAGGAAAATGACCAATAGGTAAGTATACAATTTTCTTTTTTTCCTGACACCAACATGGCAGCAAACGAATGGGACATAGCACGCAAAAAAACAGAGATGGTAATGCTGAGATATTTATTCCTTTGCACAACTGTTAAACACATTCCAACCAAACTTCACTCTGGTCAAGACTGCTGGAAAGACTCTGTAACGTGACAGGAACATGTCATACATGGAAGAGGCCACTGCCTTCCAGAGTAACTCTGGAGACACTGCTAAATTCTGTCCAATGGGATGAAATCTTTCCGTAGAGTGGACCCAGAGACTAATTGTGGGCGCTATGTAGGAGTCTATGAACCATCAGGACCAAAGGAAACACATAAGCATAAAATAACCGCTACTTTTACCATTGGAGAGTTTTCGCTCGGCAAGAAGCGAAAGGGAGTTGAACGTAGGATGCAATAAGATGCACCAAGTTTCTTTGTGCTGAATACATGATTGGAGATACCTCCAGCAGCAGTGAGCAGTTCCCTTCTCCTTAATGACACTGAATCTATGAAAAAGCTCATGCTGTTGTCCATGCAAATCACTATTTAAGATCCCTGGATCTGTCATGAAAACGCTTTCAGGACCTGAAAGGCTCTCCAATCTACAAGACACTGAGATTTTTACCCCAACGGATTCTGTCACTCACCTTGGGCTAAGAGGTCATTGAGGTGATTAGCACAACTGAATGCAGAAGAATCCCTTGCTAACTTTATCAATGGATAGGGACACTTCTGATCATATTTGAAACAGGCTCACAGGCCTTAGCCTCCACCAAAGAATCTCCTATTTGGAATCACCTGGTCCTCTGGTACAGGGAATGTATTCTCCGTTGCCTTAAGAATCCTGTTGGAGGGGCTCAACCTCCAATAAGCCTATATCACTATTGGAACTGATTCTGCCAACATGAGAAAACGAGACAGCAATGAGCAGGATAGAGACTTGACCTGTCTTAAACCTAACACCTAGACTTTTTGGAAATTCTCCAGAGCTTCTCTTCTTCTTGGAATGACTTGGCTTTTCCTGTTGACGATCCCTTTAGATTTAATCAGAGCCTAAATTAAGTTGTCCTAGAGGACAGCCAGAGTATGAGCATACTGAACCATCAGCAGGATGTCACCCAAATAGGGAAATACTTGAAAGTCTAGTTTACTTAAGATGGTAATGACTGGATGTATGGAAAATGGCCTAAGTATGTGGTCAAAGGGCAGATAAACAAAGTGGAACCCTAGAATGGCAAGCAAGACATTTGTGAAAGTATGGGTATACAGTAACGTGAATACATGTCTGCTAGACATAATATCCTATAGCCTGTTTGCTGGATTGAGGGACTGACTGAAGTAATTCCATATGCAATATCTGTGTCCTGATCCTTCGGTTTAAAGCTTTGAGAACCAAGATTGTTCTGAAGTCTCCTGGTTTTTCCAGTCGGAAAAAATAGGATAGAAACCATGACATCTTCTGGACAGGAAAGATTACGTGACACTCTGTGCATTGAACCTGGAGTTTAACAGGACCCATGGAACCCAAACAGGATATGCTTAAATGTGCATAACTTCCCACAACCTGGACCAACTGGGCGAGTTCAGTCAGGGAAATCATGACAAGGACTCCGGGGAGGGAAAAATCTTGGCTTGTTCAAATGAAGAAATAAGGATAGTGAACTCTTCCATCCCTGTCTGTAGTCTTTCTCAGGCCTATAAGATTTGGCATCTCTAATTATTAGTTTCTTTGCCTCCTGTTCATTTGTTGGTAATGGCAATGGTGCCTTCCAATATGAGGAATTCCGATTGCCCTTGTGACTTTAGATATTTTGGTGTATAGCTCGTTGCTGAACCTGGAGGAGCCAATAAATGGAGCTCTGCGCCACTTAAGATAACTGCAGTCCGAGATTAGCAACACAGAATATCCCAAGCAGCTGCAGTATAAAGTCACTGGCTGATCTAATTTCAGTCAAAACTGCAGCGACCCCAAGACCTTTTGCCAGCCATAAGGTCCACTTCTGTGTTCTCTGCCCAAACACAGATTGTCTTGACTACTGAAGTAAGAGCCATTACTGACCCACAGTTGTTCCAGAAAGCTATAACACTTTCCTTAACTCATATAAGGTGTCTATACAGGATACTATATCATCCATAGGTAATGTCACATTTCTAACTAGTCAGATGACTGTTGCGTCTTGAAAAGTACATATTCCTTCTAACTTATGGCATTCTTACTGCCCCAATTATGGGTTGAATAAAGGCCCATGGTAACGGACTCCCTGGAGGTGAAATATCACCTAGGAAGGACGCTGGCAAAAAACCTCTGTAACCGACTGCCTATGGGCTAGAGGGGAACTTGAGATGAATGTAACTGCTTGACAGGGCTAGTAACTAATAGCTTATAAACTACTTCACAGTCTGTTTAATAGGGCTATAACTAATGATTATTTTTATAATCGATTAGTTGGCCGGTTATTTTTTCGATTAATCGGATAAAAAAAATACCATCCTTAATTTAAAATAAAATACACAAATGCAGTGTTACAAACAAAGTTTACTTCAGAATAAAACTGCATGCACAATTTTTTGCAATCACACTGCACTGGAACCAATCTGAGGGTGGGAGGCGTGTTTGGGATGCTATTGAAAGGAATAACAGTGCAAAGCACCTCCCGCAGCAAAATTTGTCAGGCAGAAACAACATGTTAGGCCCACCTTTTCTCATTTAAAAAAAATAATTGTATTATAAGCATTTGGCGCTTGAATAGCTTCAGCTATGGAATGACAGCTGTCATTGGCACGATTACGCAGATGGCAGCTTAATGTTAATACAGCAGGTTGTGGGCTGGTGCAATAGCTGGCCTGCTATTGGCCATTTCAAATTGCAATAGGCAATAGCAGGCTGGCTATTGCACCCACCCATTGCTTGCTGTTTAAGCACACATGGAAACTGAAGGAAGCCACAGGTATATTAACAGATATTCAAATGATATGGCGAGAGCAAAGCATCACTGCAAAGCCATAGGAAATTGTAGCACTTTCACTGAAAGGATAATTAAAGGATCTTACTTTGTCATCTTGACCATGTGGGTGACATCATTCCAGCGC